TGTCAGAGTTGTTTCTGAGGCCGTGGATGGCATTGCGTTCTGTATGGCTGAGGTTATGGAGGAAGTGAGAATGCTGGTAAGTCTGAAGTACAAGCAACAGGTATGGGGAGTGGAATAGTCCAGAATCTTGGAGCAGAGTATACTTGTGGTTATTCTTGATAGCTTAATTCACTGTGCTGTCACACTGAGGCCCTGATCTTACAAACAAATACTGATGCACATGCTTAATCTTACTATCATGTAGTCCCATTGAAATCAATGACAGTATTCATGGTACTTAAGCGCATGCTTAACTGCTTCCAGGATCAGGGCCATGATTTGTCTCTTATGTTCAGATGCTGATGATCTCCAGAGTATCAGGTATTATTCGATAAGTACCAACAGGAAAGAGTTTTACAAATGGCATCTAGTGACTGTCAGAAGAAATTTGGTGGCTTAAATAACTGGTGGATGCTTCCTATTCTCAGCTGCAAGGAGAATGTGGAACTTTACCAGACTCCATCTCTCCTTCCCTGTGGATTGCCTAGGGCACTTGGCTCATGGCATTTGTGTGTTAAACTTTGCTATACAACAAAACTGGTTCTTATCAATTTCAAACTGCAGTCCACAGGGTTCTAAATACCAAGAGTGAACCGGACCATAGTTTTGTTGATTTCACTCTGGTGCTGCTTGGCAAAGCAATGAATTGCAACAGAAGCATTGACCTGTCTGGTGGCATTCTCAGGAACAGAGCATTGTGTTGATTTATGTTTGGAAGCTTACCTTTGTAACCATATGGGTCAGAAACTTTAAAATAAAAACGAAAGCTTAAAATTGTGCAGAAATTGATCATTTAGACACCACATCATGCTAGCTTGCTCAGAAAAGCTAAGTAAATGGGTTTTTAAACCCCTGACAAAACAAATAAAAACATTTTACACAAACTGCAGGAAAATAATTTCCAAATTATTTTTTATTAGCCAGAAAAGCCAATTATGGTTTCCAATTTATTCTGAGATTTTAAACAGTCTTACTAACAGCCTTTTCATAGCTCCAGTCCATGCTTCAGAAATGAAAGAAAAAAACTACGGACTTCAGCAGAAAAAAAATAAAAAGACTGTTTAAGGGTCTCAGCTTAGTCCTTCAAATACTCCATCAACCAGTATGTCAAAACAGCCACCACCATAAATTTCTACTTTAGACTCTGAAGCCGTGATAAATACAGTGTCCTTCCAATCCACAACCATATGTTTCCAGTGCAACTTCTGACCAGGAAAAACAAAACAAAAACACCCCACCACACTCTGGGTCAGCTACAGCCTAAACAAAAGATGTGTTACAATGTGCATCACTCAGCTGCCACAGAGACAGAGCTACAGCTGAACAGAATTCAGCACAGTTTGAGGAGGATAAAATGAACTCTGGGGCCAGCCAGAGGCTGATCTAGCTCCTAATCTAAGATACTGCATTCAGAGAAAAGAAGGTAAGAGAAGGATGAAGAGAGATCCAACTAACTTCCTATTTGAAATAGCATTTAATGTTGGATGAGATTTACACAGCTCATGTTCTAGAGGGATGATGTCACAGAATTTAGTAGCATAAGAGGAAATGCCCCAATACCAAAGATAGTTGAATGGAAAAGAGTGAGCAGATTGGTAGCTATAAATCATATCAAACAAACATGGAGGAACACTGTATATCTATTTATTATACATAAAAAAAAACTAATGTTAAAAGATTAAGACTACAAAGTTAAACACTCAAAGGTATGAAATGCCAGAATTAAGGCTGCCTGTGATCCCCATCCAATTTGTCTCTCCCTGCCACCGTGACCTCCAATCAAGCCTCCACCTTAACCCTCCCATATTCTCTATTCTCACAGCCTTTCAGTTCCAAGCTCACACCTAGCTCCTTGTTCCAGTCTCTTTGACCAGCCAGTCCCAGTTATCCACTGCACCCAAGTTCCTTATCAGATCTTCTCCTGCCCTCTCACTTCTTTCCCCCCCATCCCACATGTTTTCAGTGAAAGGGCCCTAGAATTTGTCACCATGTTACAGTACTATAAGTTAAGCTAGGGTGAGGTTATTTCACTGAAAGCTGAAAGTTCTACTGTGCCCAAATCACTGGATCTAGGCAGCTAAGATCCAGGACTTTAATGTGAAAGACCTGAGGTCTATGCACAAAAATGGTTGTGCATTTTTGCACTTCAAAGAGTGCATTTCATTACTGAAACCGCGTACCCCAATTGGAAAATTAAATATGTACACAGACATTTACCCATATGCAAGCACAAATACTTAGTTTGTACATGCACCTGCTGTAATGGAGCAGGCAAATGAAGATATGCAAATGTACATCTTTTCCCCTGTGGAATTTAAGCCTCATCCTATTTAAAAAATAAATACATAAATAAATAAAAAAAATCTGCCCTTGTACTTTAAACCCAATTACCTGAGAAACCACTTCTTGTGTTACACCCCATCACAACAATTGAAGCCAACTGGGATGATACTGTTTTTGTTTCCTGGGACTAAGCTTTCCAAGTACAGGGTCTTTGCTAGTGGAATACATGGCTTTTTATTTGCTAGGGCAAACAAAATATTTTGCTTCGTTTTTGATTGAATGTCAATTTTTGTTTACTTAAATCTTATTATTTGGCTATTAAAATATCCCTTGAGGCAACCAGGATTATTTTATACAATGGGCTGTCTAGGCTATTGATATGTTTTAATTTTTATAAAAATGACTTATTTACAAGATAAACCATTGGGAGTTCAACTCTCCTTCCCTTTCCCACATTCAACAGCATCCTACTCTACCCCTCTCTCACACCCAGCAATATCTTACTCTAGGAACACCTCCCTTGATTTTAGTGGAGCTACATGCCGAGTACGTAACTACTCAGTATGGGAGAATGTGGTAGAATCTAGCTCTAAGTAAATTAAAAGACCAGATGAAATTTTAGCACGAGTCAATGAGCTGCATTTCCCCTAGAGTTTAATGAAACAATGAGAGACTGAATTGAAATGATGCCTTTTAAATAATAGATTTTGTGAAGATATTTATGACTTAATAAATTCATTTCAGGCCATTTTCCAATATATCCCAGGCACAACGTTTACAAATGAAACATTTCAGAATGACTAAAATTAGTTTTTCAGATGAAATGAACAGATATACATTTTACCTCATTGCCAGATTACTGATGGTTTAATTTCTTTAATTTTGTGCACATTCGGTTAAAACTGGTTTTACTTGCAGCAAAATGGAACCAATTGACCACATTAGGATTCTGGCACCTGTACATTTATTAGACTGATTTCAATTTCTGAAAGTCAGTCCAACCCTACAGCTAGAGGATAACTACCCACTTCTAGCCCGAAGTCTGAAACTGGCCTGGAAAAAGCATAGAACCTGCTAAATCATGAAGTGAGCGTCCTGTGTTCTATGCAGTTGATAATACTGCTAGGGCAGGCATCACCAAATGGTGATGTCACATACAGTCTTCCAAGTTTTTTTTAACCTGTGAGTAAGTTTTGACTCTTGGGAAGACATGGTTTTGTTGGTGTTGGTTATTGCCAGGAAAGTGGCTCTACTAGCAAAAGTTCAAAAGAACTTTTTCCAGTACAAACTGCATCGCCACTAGGAGGGAGTGCCAATACAGCTGTTCCAGTAAACTCCTTCTAGTGTAGACAAGGCTTTACTCATTTACTTTTACACTTTTCTTCTAGGTAACAGAATTGAATTCCAAGAGTAAGTCCCAGTTTTTAATGCAGAATTTCAACTTCTGCTGCCTCTAAAAAACTGACAATTGTATACAACTGTTTTTAAGCGTATCCTGCTATGATTGCTAGAATGATGTAACTGGGTGTTCGCTGCCTCTTTTCCCTGTAGATGGTCTTGGAAACCAGTCTACTCCTCTGAATGGAAATTGTCAGGTTAAATGTTATAACTGCAAGTATACATGCTGGAATTATCAGCCAAAATACATGTTTCGAGTCTCGTTTTTCATTCAAATTATTCAAACTCAGTTACATTTTAAAGATAAAACCAGAGACAACAGCATCAAAATATTGATTAGTTACATCTTCTGTTTCCCTGAACACTTTAGATTGTGGTGTAGTGTAGATCTTCCATTAATGCCTAAATGGCAAACATTCATATTCATTTTTCTATTAGGAAACGAAGCAGAAAAAAACCTGTACTTAATTATAGTTTCTGCAATCTGAACGCTTAAGAACACTGGAACACAGATTATAATACCACATTGGTGTCATTCATCTTCTTTTTTTTCCCCATCAACACACAATGCCAGGAAAGGGACATCTGACATGCTTATGTAACGCCGACAGACCCCGGTCGTTGTCGGTGGGCAGGATAACAAGGTACCTCTGGAGCTTACTGCATGAGCCTCTACCACATGACCTAAAAGCCAACTGGCTGTTAGCTAAGGCTGTAAAGCAGACTCATTAATTGCTCTCTAAGTGGTCTTGGTGCCACTAGATGGGACAGAACACCACACCCAGAAGGGTTATGGGGTTACACTTACAATAAAAATTAAAAAGTGGTCAGAAAATCCAGTTCAAATTGCAGAAATTACCACTGTTCTTTTTTCATTCCTTAAGTTACACCAGGAGGATCCAAGCAGGAAGCGAGTGTCATTTCTCTTTCTAGTCTCTGTTGACCACACAATTTCTTTGAGAGAGAGTCTTCCCTTCTGCCATATGGACCTCGGATGCTTGAGTCTGGTGAATATCCTAGAGCTTGTCCTCTCTCCTGTGGACAGTAGTGCCTTGTTTTTCTCACCTCCTCCAAGCTTGAAGCCAATGCTGTCTTGTGGCTTGGCTAGACCTACCTACAGAACTGAAAAGAGAAAGAAGCAGAGGTGGAGGCAAGTGCAGGGGACGAAAAATCAAAAGCCAGGTTCTTCCTGGCTTGTGCACAGGTGCACATGGGAGAAAATATTCAAGAAGCCTTTTCTTCACTCCCTGTAAGAACCAAGCAGAATTGCAGCCTCAACCTTCTGAGGAAGGCAGGGACTGGTCTGCCCCTACTCACTAGGGATGCCTCCTACCTTAAAGAGGGTGGGGGTTGGGGTGGGATCAGTGCTTTAAATTTCCTCCCTGCACTCGCTAGTTGCATAGGGTCTAGTATTGGGAGCAGGACTGGCTCTAGGCACCAGCAAACCAAGTACGTGCTTGGGGCGGCACAATTCCAGGGGTGGCACTCCGGCCACTTTTTATTTATTTGGGGGGGGGGGCGCGGCGCTTCGGCAGTTGCGCTCAGAGGCAGGGTTTTTTGTTTTTGGCTTGGGGCGGCAAAAAACCTAGAGCTGGCCCTGATTGGGAGTGTAGCCTCTGTGTGCTCAATGCTCCAGGAGGCATTCTATCTTCTTAAGGCAGAACATGCCTTAGTGCTGCCTACAGCCCCTTATCTAGGCTGTTCCTAAGCAGCACAATCTAGCCCTAATTTGGAAATATCATTGCTTAGCAGTTCTCAAATTATGGTTTGTGGAACACTTGTTTGTAGTCCCTGGCCAACTTGCTGGTCACAGTATGCAAGCACTGGTCTTCGTTTTCAGCTACAGAGTCACATTAAAAGAAGATTCAAATACCTTCCTAATATTGTTTTCTTATGGAAGGAATTGCTGCAGATGCCAGAGGGCTGTTATTCCATCCCTAATGGAAGATAGCTTGTGCAATAACAAACAGAACATACTCCATGACATGACCTCTACGCTAAGATGCGATATGCACTCTGAAAGAGTTTGCCCATCTTGCCACAGATAAATCAAGTGGCAGTTCAGTGGGTAAAAGCAGCACAATTCCAGCTGTAGTAAAGAGCACGTATTACCTATGAAAAACAATTACCAGACTTCAACCCAAGAGCTAACTCTCCAACCAAAATCATTTTCTGAAATATCCAGTGTACATATTAGTCAGGCTTGGACTTTAACCTCTTATGCAATCACATCTAGCTCTAAGCACAGTATAATATTCTTGGCTGCCCAAAGGAACAAAGATGGCTTTGCTTTTTAAATTGTAGGTATGATCATACAAAGCAATTGTTGTGAAACACTAACTGTTCAAAGCCAGCAGAGGTTTCTTTCCGCTATATTAATAGTGAAAGTAATAACAGTATTGTACCATTCATTGAGCTATTTATTAATCAATCATTCTTCACAACTTCCTAAAGGGTCAGGGGAAAAGAAAAAACATGTCACAAATGGAAGGGGCATTTTCCTTTCTATAGTCAGTAACAGCAAAGACAAAGTGAATGATGGGAGATGAGAAAATAGGTGCCATTGTGCTACAAGATAGATTTGTTCTCTGCAAATATGCTTGTTTCTTTAAGTGACAGATCAGCAGGATTTGTATAAAACAAATTAAGAACAAAAGAATCAAATTAGACTAGAGCTGTATGAATGTAGGGGGAGCTAGAAGCTAAAATAGGGAAAACACTGACAATCAGGGGAGGTGTTCTAATCTCAAAATGTACAGATGGCTGAGGGTGTGGCACAAAGTGACTCAAATTGAGGTAGCTCTATTGACCTCCATGGGACGTAAGCACAACTCATGTGCTTAAGTAAAGTTTCTATTAATAGAATCTGACAGCACTTTTTCTAAGAGATAAAACCTTTCACCCAGTTAAACTACTACTTAGCTCTCCAATTCTTTACTAGTAAAATGCCCAGGATATTGTCAGCTATGCTGAGAGAATGAAGTGAACGAATGGAAATATGAGTGATGTAAGAGTCCATAGTAGTCATTAAACATTCAGAATATGTAGGACACTGGAGGAAC